GGGGTCGCCTACTCTTCATCTGCTCCATGCCGCTGGGTCTACAATCAACACGTGCATCAAGGACGGGTGGTAAGGACGCAAGACCCTTGGAAGCTGAAGGTGGATTTTGTTGTAAAGAAACGGACCAAAGCGGCAAAGGACAGGCCGCAGAGGCAAGGACACATGGGTACCCTGGAGACGACGCGCGTCCTTATTTGGCGCGTTGGTATATCGCACTGCGACCGAACACCAGCCACAAGGAATAAATAAAAGCCACCCCATTTTGCACTTGCGGAAGAGTGGTCGAACCAGCCTGCAGTAGCTGGGCCATCGCCAACTACATTGGACGACGAAGACGACGACGACGACGGCGGCGACGACGACGACGACGACGACGACGACCGACGACGACGACGACGACGACGGCGACGGCGACGGCGACGGCGACGGCGACGGCGACGACGACGACGACGACGACGACGACTGCGAGCGCCACAACACGTTTGTGAACACCAGTGCGTGCCGTTCAGACCACGCCACGCCTGTGAGCACAGCACCATGCCATGCCTGCGGGGGGTCGGCTCCCAGCATAAGGGGGGGGGGGGAGACCCCCCCTCCCCCGCGGCACGATCGTTAGCGATACCCGGGGAAGGGGGAAGGTTTGGCCCGGGTAGCGAGCGTTACGCCAGAGAGGAAAACAAAAACGCGCATCAGCCAGATGACCAGCGGCTGCGAGGCGTTGCGTGGCGCGACTCCTCTCGGTGACCTGTGCTGGCGTCTCCGTTCGGTGGCCTGCGCCGGCGTCAGTCGGATACCTTTACCCTGGCAAGTGATGCTGAGGCCGTGCGGCGGTGAGGCCTTCGCCCTGGTCTCGTCACCTGCTGGGTTTGCAGCGCTGGCCGTGCCGACCGCGCCTGGCGGCGGGTGGCTAGGTTGCCTTGGCGTGAGCTGCGCCACCTCCTTGGCCGCCACATCTTCGCCTAGTGGCGGGTGGGCGAGCTGCTCTGGCGTTGGCCTCGCTCAGTCGCCCATGCGAAGTAGGTTGCGTAGAGGGCCCGGGTGGGCGGCTGCACTGTCCAACCCATTGGGATTCGGCGCTGGCACTGACACGCCCAAGGGCCTGGTCCGCGACCCGTCGCCAACGCCGCGCGCGCCCTCGCTTCGGTCGCAGCCGCCCGGGGCGGGGACCTGGCGCTGCGTCCAGAGTGGTCGTGCCCTCGATCGTGTAACTTGCGATGTGGTCAGCATGACGCCTGGGCGGGTGCCTGGTGGCCCCGCGCGTTCCCGCTGTCGTGGCGCACGCTGTGCAATCCGATCGCCCTGCTCGACGTGCCAAGCCGTCCAGCGCTCGCCTTCGTGCTGCTCGTCGCGTTCGCGCTGGCGTAGGAGTGGTTCTCCGGGGGCGACCCGGCGACTGGGCTAGTGCCCCAGCGGCCGCCCGCCCCCCGAGGCATCGTCGCCCTGTGTAGCCCGGCGCGGGGAGGGCTCGGGCGGGGCAGTTGGGGCTGAGTCGCGTTCAGTGTGGTCGAGACCCCGTGGGGCTGGGCGGCGGGCAGCCCGGCGCGCCCGGGGCGGGGCCTGGCGCCCGTCCACCTCCAGAAGCGCTCCGCGCCATCCCGTCGCGCTTCCAGCGTCGTGGAGCACGTCGCGCCGCCCCGTCGCGCGGCCGCGCCACGCCCCGCGGCGCGAGGCATGGTGCTCGAGCGCAGCGCGGTGAACGCCGCGATGCTGCCCGCGCGCCGCGGGAGGTCGCGCCGCCGCGCCGATCGGCCCCCACTCCTCCCTCGAGCCCCGGGAAGCCACCGCGAGGAGCTCAATTGTCATCCGCGCGGCGCGGGGCCGCCAGGTCACGAAAAGTGACTGCGGCGGAGGGGGTTTGATCCGGGGCCCCCGGAGGCCCCGCCCCCCCTCGCCGTCGCGCGGGTTCCGTCGGGGGCGCCGGGCGGCCGGCGGCCCTCCGATGGCCGCCTGGACTAGCCGACTCACTCTCCGGAGCGTGGCCTGGCCCGATATCGGACATCGCCCAATATCGGACATCGCCCGCGGACGTCGCCCGCCTCACTCTTGGAGACTCACTCTCCCCCGCGGACATCGCCCGGGGGGGGGGGCGCCAGGGTCGCGTGGCCTAGGGGTCGTCCTGGCAAGGGTTTCGACCGCGGCATCGCGCGGCTGGCGCTCCCCCAGCGGCCGTCGGGCGAGCCTGATTTGCATCTCCCAGGCGCGGCGCGACCGGGGCCGCCGAGGAGGGACAGACACAGTCGCGCCGCTCGCGGCTGCGGCTCTGCCCCCCGAGTCTTCCGGCAAAGGGCGCGGTGCGCGTGGCGCTATGCGTCTCTCGCTAACGCGAGGCAGATGGCGGTGGGGCCCGTCGCGCAGCTCGGCGCAACGGCGCTCGCTTCCATCGCGGCGCAGGCGCTGCTCGACAGCGAATATAGCGTGCGCTGCTCCTCTCGCTAGTAGGTGTAAAGCTGCTGAAGATGGGGCCAGTCTTGGCGCGCAACGTCATGATTGTTAGTCTCGCCGCGATGTTTCGCGTCGGGGTGCTGGCCCCGGCGCGCAGCTGAAACAACGTTGGGATCGCTGCACTGGTCGTCTCACTCATGGAGGCGAGGCCATGGGCGCAGGATCCAGTCGCACAGCGCAGCGTTGTGCAGCGCAGCCCCGTAGGGTTTCTCGGCGTTGAGGCGCTGGTAACAGATGTGGGCGTTCTATGCGCTGCTCGCCCCGCTCGGCGCGGGGCTGCTGATGCTGGGTCCCGTAGCACTGCGCGTCGTGGTGGTGCTCGACTCCATCGTGCTGCGCGGTGTCCCAGCGCTGGTCGCGCAGGTGCTGCAGGTGGACGCGCTGCTCGCGGCACTGCTCGTCGCAATCGTGAGTCGAGTGCGCGGCTGCTGGCGCCCGCGCGCGCATGCCCCGGTTGGCTTGCCATGGACCGCGCCGCGCTGCTAGTCGCGATCAAGAGAGCGGGGGTGCCCGCGCTGGCCCCCGTCGCGCTGTTCGACGCGCGCGTGACTTGCGCGGCGATGCTGGGCCCCGTCGCGCTGGTCCGTCGCGCAGCTCAGAGTCGAGGTGCAGGAAGCAGACGTGCTGCTGAAGAGCGCGGCGTTCGGTGCGCCGCTCGCCTCGCTCGTCGGGGCGAATATGTCAGGTGCGCGCTCCGTCGTACTCGACGTCGTTTTGCTCATCGCCAGCGCGCTGCGCGGTGTCGCGATGGTCCTGGGCGCGACGCCCCAGGCCGCGATGCTCGTTGCGCTGCTCGCTTCGCTCGTAGATGAGGTTGCTGGTGCTGGTCCTCGTCGCGACGCGCGTCGCTGCGAGGCTCGATGCCGCCGCGCTTTCCAGATTCGAGACGGTAGCTGCTCGAAGACGTCAGGCTGTTGGCAGTGGATCCTGTCGCGCTGGCCAACGCCCCGACGCGGGCGCCGCTGGGTTCCCTGGCGCCCAGGCGCCTGTCGCGGCGGCGCCGCTGAAGGACGTGCTGTTCGACGCACTGCTCGGCTCACTCGTGTGTGAAAATCTGCCGGGGCTGGGGCTGGTCGCGGCGCCCGACGTCGCGGCGCTCGATCTCGTCGCGCTGCGCGGCGTCGCGGTGGCCCCGGATGCGCTGCTCGAAGACGCGGCGACCGTTGCGCTGCTCGTCTCGATCGTGGATTCGCGGCCGCTGGAACTGGGCCCCGCCCTTGCGCGCGACGTCGCGGTGCTTCATCCCGTCGCGCAGCGCAGCGCCGAGGTGCGAGATCATGACAGGCTGCTCGAGGACGCGGTGCCCGTCGCACTGCTCATTTCACTTGTAGCACTGCAGCTGTTAATGCTTGACCCCGTCGTGCTGGGCAGCGCCGTGCATCTGGCGTTGTGCGCGTCGGACAAAGACTTGGCGCTCCCGGGGCTGCTCTTCGCACTCGCGTGCGCGCGAGCGCCGGTGGGCTGGCCGGCAGCAACCATGAAGGCCGGGAAGATCAGGCGCGCGCTCGCCCCAATCGGGCGTTTGAACTGGCGCGCTGGGGCGGCGCCCCGCGCAGCGTGGCCCAGCGGTGTCCGGCGAGGCGCGCGCGCCGAGCAGACCGAGGCCGTCGATCGCCCCGCGACGGTAGGGAGGACAAACCCGCGCTGCACGACACGCCCGATGTCACGAGCAACCCCGGCGCCCCTGTCGAGGCTGCGCAGAGAGAAGTCGGGGCCGCGAGAGTGGCCGACCCCGCTCGCGCAGGCATCGCCCTCGCTGTTCGGAGCGTCGTCGGCGCCCTACTCATCCTCTTTGTCGGTCAGGAGCGCGCGCGGGGTCGCGCCGATGAGCTCGCGCGGGGCCTCCTTTGTGGCCTTCCGGGATTCGGGGAGACGTGGGCCGACGGGGGGTCGCGGTCCGCGCCCGCGCATTGCGGAGCTGACTAAGGCGCCCCCGCTGCCGCGAAATGAGCCCCAGGGCGCCCGTGGGCCCCGTCGGTGCCGCAGTCGCTAGTGCGACGGCTGGCTCTGGAGGTGCGAGTTCAGGCCCCGGCGCGGGCTTCCGCGCGTGCGCAGGCGGTCCTGGTGTCATCCGTAGGCCCCGCCGTCGACGAGTCTGGCGTCTCTGCTGACCTGGACCCCGACTCCGGCGCAGTGCTACCCCTCGCCAACTGGTGAGGGGAGCGCGGGGTAAAACTAGACGTGGGAAGGACGGCAGCACTGGCATTGGTCAGCAAGACAACCAAATGCTGATTCGGACTCCCTTGCGGGATGGTGGCGCAGTGTTGGCAATTAGTGGGTTCTTGACCGACAATTACCTCGGTGCCTTCATGAATCGGCGACGGCAGGCGTGGTGGGGCGATGCTTGTGGTGTCGGGCAGCGCGTCGGCCCTGGCGTGCCTTGCGCTTGCCCTGCTTGTCCCGGGTTCATTCCCGACGCCATGCGACCAGGCCTCCACGCTGCCTGGCACGCTGGGGCCTCATTCGTCGCAGGGGTTCCTTTCTTCGCAGGGGTCCCATTCGTCGCAAGGGCACGCTTCTGCGTCGTAGCAAGGGTCACATTCTTCGACCAAGGCGTCAGATCGCGTCTTTGTCAGAAGGGCCCTCAAGTATGTGTTCAGGCTGGTTTTCTCTGCTTGGGCGGAGGCAAACTCTTTTTGGATATGGTGGCATTGCTGGACCAGTCTAACTTGATTGGTGGCTACGCTGGTCAACCGCAATTTCAAAACACATTACTATGTCCGCGAGCCCCTGCTGCTCCGCTTCGAATCTGCGGAACCATGCGTCGGTTTGATTTGGGGATCCCCTGGACATTTGGTTCGGGAAACTATTTTTCGTCCGAGTTTTCTTCGTGGCCTGGTGGCTCTTGCTGCTCGGCGGGGTTTGTGGGATGCCACTGGTGTGTAAGCGGTTGTGGAAGGTCCTCTTGAGCGTGACCGCGATCGGGACGTTCCACGTTGGTGTTTCGAGGCTTGTGATGGGGCCGTGCCGTTATCCAGGTGGATCAAAGCCGGGGCCATGCACCTGGCAGGTCACGGCTGGTGTCCGTATTGTGTGTGTGATGGCGAGATGCAGCTATGCGTAGCTGACATTGCACAGAAGCGTCATATCGCTCCTGAACAGAGGTGGTTGGAGCGGTGTTGCTGGTAAGCGGATTCGAAGTTGATCGTTTTTTTCGGACACGCTCGTCGCAGGCTGCAGCTACCCGGTCTGCGCCGCCAATGCTTCGGATCGCATCAATCCTGGCCTCCTCGAGAACGACAATGGGTTTCTGGACGGGAGGTTTGGCAGCGCTTGCTCGGTGACCTGGGATGCAGTGGTACAGGAAACATGCGGTGTGGGCTCTCCGGGACTATTGCGGCGCGCGCGGAAACACTGAGATGACGCCAATCGATCACACCGTGAGATGCGGTGTCCAGTCTCGCCATGCGCGGAAAAAACTGACAGCTGCGCTGGGGGTTTCGCATCGCGGCAGAACATTGGGTCAGAGACCTTCGAGCCGAGACTGACGAGGAGGGAGGCGGGCGAAGAAAGAGGGGAACAGGGACGAGATGGAGGCAGCCCTAGGGGAGGAGGACCAGGGGACGGCCAGGGCGGGAGACCCACGGGAGGGAGGGGCACGAGGAGTCAGCCGCGGACGGAAGGGGCCCCCGTTGGCGAAGGACGAGGGCGAGGAAAGCGAGGGCCGCAGACACGGGGAGAGGAAGCCCAGGGCGCAGCACGACGCTGGTCGCGCGGCGCCAGACAGGGGGAGTTGCGAAGCGGCGGCACGCCGAGCAATGAGTGCACGGGAACGCCGGCGCCTCCAGTCGCCTGCAGGGCACCCGGAGCGTTGGCCTCAAGCACGCTGCCGCTCGGGCCCATACTGCGCATGGTCGTTATGGCAGCATGCAGGTCCATGCCCTCGCGGTCTGGACGTCGAGGCGCGATCCTATGGATACGCGGACCCATGGCTACGCTGCGGGCGGGGCATCCGCGCCAAGCGGCCCCGCATCCATGGCGTCGCGGCCGAGAGGAGGCGAGGCCGCGAGGCCGAGGGTGTGTGTGTGTGTGCGTGTGTGTAGATGTGTATGTGTGTGTGCATGTGCGTGTGCGTTTGCGTGTGCGTGTGCGTGTGCGTGTGCGTGTGCGTGTGTGTGTGTATGTGTGTGTGTATGTGCGTGTGTGTGCGTGTGTGTGTATGTGTGTGTATGTGTGTGTGCGTGCGTGTGTATGTGTGTGTGTGCGTGCGTGCGTGTGTGCGTGTGAGTGTGTGTGTGTGTGTGAATGTGTGTGAGTGTGTGGGCGTGTGTGGGGGTGTGCGCGTGTGCGTGTGCGTGTGCGTGTGCGTGTGCGTGTGCGTGTGCGTGTGCGTGTGCGTGTGCGTGTGCGTGTGCGTGTGCGTGTGCGTGTGCGTGTGCGTGTGCGTGTGCGTGTGCGTGTGCGTGTGCGTGTGCGTGTGCGTGTGCGTGTGCGTGTGCGTGTGCGTGTGCGTGTGCGTGTGTGTGTGTGTGTGTCTCTGTGTGTGTGCCCACTCCCGAGGTCTGCCTTCGCGGCGGGCGAGCACGAGGCGCGTGCAGGGGCGGCCTTCTGAGCATGCAGGGGGGCCGTCCTTAGAGAGCCACGAGCAAAGTAAGAAGCAGCACTCGGAGGCCCGCACGGATTTCCAGCAAAGGCTCCCAACTTCGCGCTTCGCGCTGCGCGAAGCGCGAAGTGCGAATAACTTCGCGCTCTCGCGCCGCCTCCTAGGGGAGAAGAGGAGGATGACAAGGAGTCGGAGCCGAACCGCGAAGCGCGAAGCTCGAATAACTTCGCGCCCTCGAGGGCGCCCTTGCCGGACCTGGACGTCCCTGGACACCGTCTCCCTGGCGCGCCAGGGGGCGGCGCAGGAGGAATCGCCCGGGAGCGCCACCGCCGACCCGGTGCATCCGCACAGAGATCCCGATGTGTTACGCTTCCTAAAACCATTTCGGCGGTGGACAAACCTCCCTTTAGTAAACCTCCCCTTAAATGAAAACGGCCTGGGACCGAAACCGACGGACCTGGACCCGCAAAAATGACGGCCGCAACGCCCTCTCGCGAACCGAAAACGGCCAATTCCTTTATCGACGTGTCAGGGTAGGAGGTCTATCAACCTGCGACCATTGCTCCCGCTTCGCGCGCGCTCAGGTTGTCCAGATTCCCAGCTCGCAGCAAGATGTCGAGGGTTGGGCGGCGGTTGCGGATAGAGCTTCAGCCCGACGGCGCTACTGCAACACGCAGTGAGCAGCCCTTCCCTGAGCCCGAGGGTCTCCAGGAGGACGACGAAGATGACGAGGGAGGCGGTTTGGAGGTCGAAAAAAGGGGAGGAGTCCAGGAACATGACGGCGACGAAGACGAGGGCAGAACGGCAAGGAGCGATGGAAGCAGAAGGGTAAGCGGAACCTCTGAAGACGACAAGCAAAAAGGAGGACAGAGAGGAGGGGCCAACGTGCCCCTCGTCCACGTGGCCACCTCCTGGAGGCCTGCGGCCCATCGTGCCGCCGTGCCTTGGATGTTGGTCGGAGACCTCTTGCATGCCTGTTGGGGCCCTTCGGGAAGCCTCTGGGCAACTTCTTGGCGGCAGTTTTGGAGCCCTTTGAGGGCCGTTGGGGCCTCTCCTGGGTCTCTTGGGGGCGCCTGGGTTCCTTTTGGGGGGCCCTCGGGCTCGAGACCTCGAAGTGTGAGGACAAAGAGGAGAGGCCACCAAGCCCTCCACGTATGCCCCTCATGGTGGCCTACTGCCCATCCTGCCACCGTTCCTGGGTCTTTTGGTGGCCTCTTATATGCCTGCTCGGGTCTCTGGGGAAGCCTCTGGGCAGGTCCTGTTGGGGAGTCCTTGGGGGCGTGCTGGCGTTTTTCGGGGTCCTCTTGGGGTGGAGGCCTCGAAATGTCGGTTCCCATTCCCCCCCTGGGGCCCCTCTTGTGGCCGTCCTGGGCGGTCCTGAGTGCCTCTGGGCCGTATTGTGACATTCTTGGGCCGGCTTGGGGCCCTCGTGAAGACCTCTTGGGCCGTCTTGGGGCTCTCAAGGGGGCCTCTTAGGCCGTCTTGGACGCTGTCAAGATGAAACACAAAAGAACTTGCTGAAAACGTGCGTTTCCCAAACAGAATGGGAAGCCTTGTGCCTCTTCGGGCCCTCTAGGGTTCTTCTTGGATCTTCTTGGAGCCGTCTTGGGGCATCTTGGGGGGCCTCTTGGAAAATCTTGACGCCATCTGGCCGTCCGAAAACCATCTTGGCCCGTCTTTGATCGATTTGGAAGCAACCCGGAAGCTCGGGGGGGGGAGGGAACGCCCTGGAGAGGCTCCAGGGAGGAGCAGTCAAGGCCCCTGGGGGGAGGGGGGGGGCACTCAGTTTTGTCTGGGTACCTCTGGTGGTCTGGGTCCCCAGGGCTCCTGGGGCTGGTTCCCAAGGCTCCCGGTGCTGGGTTTCTCGTACAATAAGACATGTAGTGATGTGTCGTCTTCTTTTTCTTCTTCGACTGATGCAGGGCGCACAGGCGGCAAGCAATCTTGATTACATACATTACCCCAGTGCGACCCTACCTAGAAGTTGGAGCCCCTAGGAAAGCAGCAGTAGTTGCCATGCCATGCTATGCTATGATATGCTATGCTATGCCATGATATGCTGCGCAATGCTATGATATGCTATGATAGACTATGCTATGCTATGCTGCGCTATGCTATGATATGCTAAGCTATGAAAGGGCATGCTGCGCTGTGCTGAGCTAAGCTATGCTAAGCCATGCTATGATATGCGATGTTGAGCTGAGATATGCTATGATATGGTATGCGATGCTATGATATGCTATGCTATGCTAGTTTGCGCTGTGCTATGCTGTGTTATGCTGTGCTGCGCTATGCTATGCTATGCTATGGCATGCTGCGCTATGCTATGCTATGCTATGCTAGGATATGCTATGATATGCGGTGCTGCGCTATGCTATGCTACGCTATGCAATGCTATGCTGTGCTCTGCTATGATAAAGCTGAGCGAAGCTCAGATGAAGGTAAGTTAGGCTAAGATACACCTGAGCTAAGATGATGCTAAGGTAAGCTAAGATGAAATTGGCTAAGATAAGATGAGATAAGCATCGCTGAGCTAAGGGGACGTAACTGGGGGAATCGCGGGGCGGATCCTGGGGGAACCGCCCAAGGCGATTTACACTGCCCGGCCCTTTAAGCCAAGAGGGTAAGAACCCTTCTAGGCAGCGCCTAGATAGGGAATTAAAGGGCACATGTGTCATTGATATTCATCTGTTGGGTTCCCATGGCCGTCGCATGACAAGATCTCTCCATGGTGTACCTGCTGGCAGGCTGGTTTCGTATTCGACGCGCCTGGGCCTGGGGGCTGCCCTCCTGGAAACGGCAAGGCTTTTACATGTTCGAACAAACGGCCTATTGATCATAGCAAGAAACGTTTCACCGAGAAGGTAAACAAACGGTTCACCGAAATGGCCTGGGCAGTCCAGAGATCCGAAGGATGTTCGGACATGGTTCGAAAACAGATCGAATCGGGCAAAACCGAAACTGTGATCTGGACCAAGGCTCCACCAAAGGACACGAAAAAGGTAAAACAACTGCGCTGGAAACGGCTCCAGAAACCGAGCAACGAAAAGCCCAGACACCTGACGTAGGGCCCACGAAAGAGCTTCCCCCTGTAGTTACGTCACAAGCTTGCGCTCCCTCTCCTCTGCGGCTTGCGCTCCCCCTTCTCGACGGCCGCCCTCCTCCTGCCCCCCCTCTGCGACCGCCCTCCTCTTCCTCCTCCTCCTCCTCCTCCTCCTCCTCCTGCCCCTCTCCATCCCCCTCCCCCTTCCCCCCCCTCCCCCCCCCTCTCTCCCCCTCTCCCCCTCCTCCCCCCTCCTCCCCTCCTCCTCCTCCTCCTCCTCCTCTCCTCCTCCTCCTCCTCCTCCTCCTCCTCCTCCTCCTCCTCCTCCTCCTCCTCCTCCTCCTCCTCCTCCTCCTCCTCCTCCTCTCGCTCCCAACCCGCCAAAGCTTCGACCGCAACGCGCCGGAAAGACAATCTTGCGCCCCCCCGGCACCTCCTGGGAGGAGGAGCTGGGGCTCTCGGAATCGGCCTGGCCGCTCCCCCAGAACCCAGCTCAAGGGGGGGAACATCGACCTGGAATCGCCGATACATCGCGGATGGATCGGCGATGGCGGAATCCGTGCGCTCCTGGTCGGGGGGGGGCTATCGGGCCCCTACCGGCGATGAGTGGGCGATTGGGGCCCTGAGCCCATCCGCGCCCAACGCCGCCCCTGATCTCTGCGCGCCGTCGAGCCTTTCCGGCAGGGCGAGCCCGTTTCGTGGGACCAGAGGCCAGACGCCGACGCAGGAGGATAGCTTCTCGAGGCTGCCCCCGCATGATCAGAGGAACGCTGTAATCTGGGATGGACAGACCCCCCTTTAGTAAAACGTGGTTTAGTGAAAACGACCTGAGGCCCAAACCTGGCGGGCGCAAGCCTGGAAAATTACGGCCCCGGCACCCCCTCGACAAGCGAAAACGGACAATTCACTAATCGACGTGTCACTGTTGGGGGTTCTGTCCACCCCCGAAATTCTCGGAGGTCCGGCAAGATGTGCTGGATCGGCGCTGGCCCCCATCGTCCAGCGCCGCACCAGGCGTGCTCCGAGCGCCAGGGAAGGGGGGTCCGACGCCGACCGAATAGATCCGCACGGACCTCCGAAAGGTGTTGCTTGTGTGCTGACTTTCTTCCTCGGGTGATCACTTCTTTGAAGGGGCCCCAGGACACACAAATAAATTCACACAAATCAAAAGATTCCCAATATTATCCTATATGTTCTGGGTTTCTGTCTTTCCCCCCACTTCCCATATTTTCCCATATTTTCCTGGGGGTCGACGATTAATTGTGTCTGTGTTTTTTCCCCTCCTGATTCTTTCCCACTCCCGAGGCTCATCCCCGAACAGCGTGTCGCTAAAGAGTTCTGAGACATCCAGATCGCTACATGCATGGCCCAAACAGTCGCAACCCCTCGTTGAAAAAACTGATGTGCAACTGGCCGTGCTCTCACCTCTGTCCGACTGCATCTTCCCTGGGAATCCATGCGGGAATACATGGGAACACACGTTGATACTAGTCGACCTTCTACTCCTCGACCCGCTTCACCTCTGCTGAGATTAGGGTACGTTGCAAGGGTAGTCTTGGACTTTCTCTTCCCCCCATTTTCCGCCGCCGTCGTCACTGCCGGGGAAAGGCGGGGCTCCCTGGAAGCTTCTGCTCGGCTGATGCCCAGTCCTCAGCTCGACTCCTACGACCTTCCCAGAGCGCTCGCAGAACTAGCCCCATACAGACCTAATTATCTACGCGTAGACCCAGCTCGGTTGACTGCATACGACCGAAGCCGGTAGTAAAACTCAAGAGGGTCTGGTGATGTTTCTCCCCCAGCCCCTTCTAGAGGTCAGGGCCAGGCGTAGCGACTCGAGGACGACATGGGGCCGAACTCGTGCTGTACTTTCCGCATGCCGCTTGTCTCGGCCATGGCCCATGGTGTAACTGCCGTCGTCCCTCTCTTCCTGTTCTGCTCCCTCCTCCTCCACCTCCTCCGCCCCCGTCCACCCATGCTCGTCCCTTTCAGCAGGGAGCGATCGTCCTGGCATTCATACAGGCCTATCACGACATGTTGATGGAACGAACAAATGTTCTGATATCAAAGCTGCCAGGATTCGCCAGGACGGGGGCGGTCTGCAGAGCACACAGAAGCACCAACAAGTTAGTCGAGTCGGGACCCATGGGTGGCAAGTTCCACGATGGCCTGCACACGCTCCCGAAAGTCTTCGGGCAGCCTACAAAATGGTCAGGTACAGCTCCAAGAGGCCCACAAGAGGCCCAAACTAATTGGTTTCGTTTTTGGTGTTTGGCAAATTGTGGAGTTACCGCCTTTTCAATCTTCCGACCGCCGAAGACGGCCAATTCAGCCTCAAATGTTGCCACAGTTCAGGCCAATATGCCCCCAGGACGGCCCAGGACGGCCCCAGAGGCCTCCCAAGAGGCCTCCAGCCCCCCCAAGCGGTCCCGAAGAGGGGGAACCCGAACTAACATTTCGAGTAAACCTTCGAGCCCTGTCCTGATAGATTGCCTCCCCCCCCTCACACACAAACACACACACAAACACACACACACACACTCACGCACACACACACACACACGACGCACACACACGCACACACGCACGCCCGCCCGCCCGCCCGCCCGCCCGCCCGCCCGCCCCCCGCCCGCCGCCCCGCCCACACACACACACACACACACACACACACACACACACACACACACACACACACACACACACACACACACACACACACACACACACACACACACACACACACACACACACACACACACACACACACACACACACACAGACACACACACACACACACACACACACACACACACACACACACACACACACACACACACACACACACACACACACACACACACACACACACACACACACACACACACAACACACACACACACGCACACGCGCACACACACAGACACAAACACACACACACACACACCGCCAGCAAGCCCCCCAAAGGGCCCAAAGACACAAAGGCCCCCGAAAGGCCCCCGAAGGGTCCCGCAGACCCCCCCCAGAGGCCCCCAGATTCCCCTAAGAGGCTCCACCAAGCTCCAAACATGCCCCCGCGAGCACGCAGGCAAGCGCCAACAATGCTACAATGAGCCCCCAAGAGGCTCCCGAGAGGGCCCAAGAGGGCTTCATGGGGAGCCCAAGAGGGGGGGCACGAACATCCATTTCGAGCCCTCTGCCCCGAGACGCCCATGACTGCTCACGCAATACTTCAAGGAAGCTACCACAGCCCATCAGCGCCGCAGTGGCACCGAACACGCGGGCAAGCGCCCGTGACGGCTGGGCCTCGGAATGAGCGAAGCGATTAAATCCGCCGAGCCTGTGTCGGCGTGTGGAAGAGGCTGTTCGCTCTTCCCTTCTGAGGCTTTCCTTTCTGCCCCCTCTTCGCCGTCGTCGTCGCTCCTTCCCCTTTCCCGGGTCTCCCCTTCAAGTGGCGAAGCAACAAGAAATTTAGCTGTCGTTATCACACAACGTCATTGAGTCGAAGGGAAGCCCCTTCCCTTTCATCCCTTCCCCGCTGGGGGGGGGGATCTCGGCGGGGGGGTCCGGCGGGGGGGTCCCGGGGAAGTCCCTGGGGGTCCCGGGTCAGATACGACGCCCTCCCCGGGAATCCCGCGGCCCAACAAAGCCCCAGGACGAGCCAAGAATGTCCCAAGAGACCCTCACGAGACCACGTCCTTGCTCCGTCAGTATATGCGGGCACCACTACCACCCCCGAGTCTCATCCCCCCTCAACTAACCCCCCTCAAGTCCCCCCCCCCCTCCCCTGACCCTCTGCCTCCACCTCCTCCTCCCCATCCTCCTCACCCTCCTCCTCCTCCTCATGCGGCTCCTCCCCGTGCTCGTCCTACTTCTCCTCCTTATACCTCGTCGTGGTCAGCGTCCTCATCTTCAGGGTCGGCGGCACCGGCCGTAAGTAGCGAAACGAACTCTATACACCGACGCTGTTTCCGACCCTGCGCTGAAATTCGCACAGGAACGCGGATCCTGGTGTATACGGGATCCTGGTGTATATATTTTTCGTCCCTTGAAAACGGGGGAAAAAAGTATACACCAGTCCACCCCGACGTCGTCCCCGACCCTCAAAAAAGTCCGGGGATTGAAAGACCACCCGCCACTGGTAACGTATATGTTCCAGTTTCCGAGTAAGGCCTTCGCAATGTCGGAGCAGGGCGAATTGAGACAACGGCAGCTCAAAAGGAGTCCCCAGACCCCTCCCAGGGTCGAGTCCAAGCGGACCAGCTGGCGACGAGGGCCCCCCCCGAAGACCAACCACCGTCGTCTCACCCGGCCCTCCTCTTACCTCCTCATCCTCCTCCTCGTCCCACCCCCTCCTCCCTCCCCTAAAACGACGCGAAGATCGGGACAAAATCGGGTCGGGATAACTCGAAATCTCTCAGAATCGGCGGGTTTGGAGGATGTATTGGGCGCCGCGGCCGCTCCAGAGCGTTCCGGAACGCTCTGAGAGCGCTCCGGAACGCTCTGGAGCGATTTATCCCGATCCTAGCCCTGCTTTATCCCCACTCCCCCCTGCTGCAACTCCTCTCTTCCCACCACACTTCGCCAGGCATGCCCTCGTCGCGGCCAGCGACTTCTGGCATGCGCACGGCCGTGCGGTTTTTGCCACCCGGCCTCACGGCACCGCGAAGCTCGTCTGGCAGACCGGGCAGTCCAGCCGCTTCTGCAGCCACGAGTCCACACACTTCTCGTGGAACAGGTGCAGGCACTCCAGGCGCAGCACGCGGTCGCCCTGCTCGAACTCGACCAGGCAGATCGGGCACTCCTGCCAGCGCAACGGGTGCGGCGCATCCGCTCACGCAGCTGGAGGAGGAGGAGAAGGAGGACAACGAGGAGAACAAGAATGAGGAGAAGGAGGAGAAGGAGGAGGAGGAGGAGAAGAAGGAAAAGGAGGAAGGGAAGGAGGAGGAGGAGGAGGAGGAGGAGGAGGAGGAGGAGGAGGAGGACGAGGAGGAGGAGGAGGAGGCGGAGGAGGAGGAGGAGGAGGAGGGTTGAAGGAGGAGGCAGAGGAGGAGGTGCGGCGCATCCGCTCACGCAGCTGGCTTGTCGGGCGCCTCCCGGCGCAGAGAGGTGCCCACGCATCGAGGAAGGCGCCCGGCGGCGAGGCCCGCAACCAGCTGCACGCATGAGACGTCGCAGCCCCCCGTGTCCCAATCCTTCGCCCCCCCGTGGGAGCCGCACGTACATTCCCAGACCCCCTCGAGTTATGAAAAAATCACGACGGTAGGTTTTTGATTATTTTTGGCCTCTGGGGGCCCTTACCGGCCCTCGGGACCGTCAAAAAACGACTCAGGACGAAAAAACGGTCCCGGGGAATGGGTCCAGACCGCTGGGGGTCGACGTCATGATAAATTCATTACGTCGGGGGTCTGGGTACACAGCTATGCGGGCCATCGCCCGACACATAATGTGCATGTTTCGCTGAACGCCTTCCACCCGTAAACCTCCCTCGAGGAACGTCCACTATACTGGTTGCGTGATCATCGGCCCCTAACAGAGCAGGAAACAGAACTGCGCATGTGGGGCATACACTGGCGACTCTCTGTCGCTACATTGTGAACTATGAGCGAGGTCTACAACGCAGAGCGGGTGGGGGCTGGGAAAGGGGCGTACCGCTCCTGCACAAAAAAAACTTGCACCGATTCCTGGCCGCCGCGATCGCCACGTCGACCTCCCAAACCGACCCGGAGGTTTGGTTCTCGGGGTCGGACATCAAGCACCGATCTGCTGTATACACTCTGCACGAGGGTCATGCTCGTGTCTCCCCTTGGCGGCGAGCACAAGGGAGTGGAGGGAGGGGGGAAAGCCTCTCAGAAGGAGGCTGCTTCGTAGAAGGCGCGGGCCTTACGTCTACAGATGAGGCCCGCGCCTTCTAAGACGCAGGGGTGCCTATAAGAAGCCGTCCCCCCTCCCCCTACCCTTTCCCCCTGCGCTCAAGCGGGTGGTACATGGCCCAAAGGGCCCCTTGAGGGTCCTTGTCTTCATCCCCCCTTTCCGCGCCATCGCTCGGACGTCCATTCCCAGTGCACTCGTTCGATGTCGTGCGCGTTTTGTCGCAAGATGACCCAAGACGCTCCTCCGTGACCCTCGCCGAGAACAACATGCACACGTCCGAGCGACGCCAAGCAATTCAAGTCAAACCCCTTTTCCGCCCGCCGGATGCGTCTGCCCCCCCTTGGAGGCCTGGAAATTGACACCAACACCAACACAGGGGGTTGCCTCCACAGGAGGAAGACGATCCTAGATTTCGGTGTTGGTGGTCCTATTTTGGCCACCTTGGAAGCCAGAATAGTACCAGCATCACCGAGATCGGGATTTTCTTCCCTCGGTGGATGTACACCGCCGACATTGGTGTTGGTGTCAATCTCTAGGCCCGCGCCCCCCCCTTCGCCCGGCGCTGGCCTGGGCTTCGCCGCCCGCGCCCCCGCACGCCTCGGAACAGCGGCCCGGGAAGGCCGACATGGGCAGCGCCGCGCGCAGCGCCTCGTATCGGGAGAGCCGCAGCGCCTCTTGGAGCTGCGCCTCCTCCTCCGGTTTCGGCGGCGAGCGAGGGGGGGAGTGAGGAGGAGACTGAGAAGACCCTCTCCAGAGGCCTCCTAGATGGGGTCCGAGTAGATGGGGTCGGAGGATCGCGCCGCATCGGTGATGCATCAGCGATGCATCGGTGATGCCTCGGCGATGCATCTTTGATACCGGCAATTCATCGGCGACGCCAGCGTGAAGAAAATCGGTCCCCACATCGAGCCGCATCGCCGATGCAGCAGCGATCCGCCGACCCCATCCGGCCTCCGGCCTTCTGAGAGATTTCCTGTCTTCTGAGAAGGCGCAGAAAACATGCCCCAAGGCCCGGGGGGCTTCCGAGACTTCGGAGACTGCCTGCCGCTTCCCACTTCCCCTCTCCCCCGGCTAGCCGACTGCTGGCACGCCCGAAGTGAGTGACCAGCATAAGCGGGCCTTGCGCTAGCTGACATAGCGACCTCACGCAGGGGCTCACGCGGGCCGTCAGCGCGGCACGCCACACTGAAAACGAGGGCGCCTGCGGCCACCCTACGCGGGACGCTTACGTGCCTATGCTGGTGAAGACAACCCCCATTGTTCTGCGTCGCTCAAGTGGGTGCGGAACATGATGGCAGGGTGGCTGAGATCAAATGGCACGCACAAGGAGATACCTAGTACTATGTGTCCTCCTTGGAGGCCATGGTAGTTCCACCATCCAATGCCAGATGTCAACAATAGTAATTCCACTCGGACAATAGCGTCCGACCAGATGTCAGTTGTTCAACCATCTAATAATGCAGCTGGTAGGCAAGCGACTGCTTATCTGAAGCGGGCAAGGTCCGCGGCGACACCGGCGATTCCCGTGCAAAATGAGCAGGAAATGCTGTCGGTCCTCTCGGCGGTGCGCACTAGGGGGTGACGCTAGGGGGGTGGGCATCTAAGAGGCCAAGGTGCGTCTTAGAAGGCAAGGGCCTGCCTAGAAGGCCCTGAAGGTTTCTGAGAGGCTTCTTAGACAGTTAAAGGATCTCTAAGACGCTTCCTGCCTCCTTAACTAGAAGCTCCCACCCCGCATTATCAGAAGTCCGCCCCTCCCCCCCCCATCCCTCCCGGGGTCCGAGGCGCCGACTTGCGCGCCGCCAGTCAGGTTGTGTGGCCATAGTCCTGGCCTGCGAAGGCCGATCGGAGCGACTCGGGTAGCTTCAGAGAGCCCTCGACGAGGAGCAGCTGCTGGAAAGCAACCCGACGCGAGGCCACGAGGAGCCGACGAACACGTATGACAAACATACCCATCGGTCGGAAGAAGTAGGTAGAAACATGAAGTAGGAAGGCGTTGGAAATATATTGGGTTTCCGCCCTCCTCCTGAAGAGGAGGGATGAGGGAAAACCACTCGACTCTTGAAGTAGGAAGGCGCTGAAAGTAGATTGCAATCTGGGAATCCAAAAATACCTACTTTCAACGACCGATGGGTACCTGTGCACCGATTAACGCAAGCCTGCCACTTCTCTCCAGCTCCGGAACGGGCCGCAGGACCACTTCTCTGCCGGCCCTCCAGCTTCTGGTGCTGGCCCCTTTGGTGCGCCACGCCAGAACTCGCCCTCCTCATCTGGGCCACCTCACTGCGCGAAACGCGCCCCGCGATGCGCAGCTACCTTCGCGCCCCCGCGAGGCCACCTTGGAGAAGGACGCCTCTGCAGCCCAAGCCGCGGTGCGCGAGTATCTTCGCGCCCGTGTGGGTGGCCCGGCTGCTTTGTGCGGCGCGCAGAAGGGGGTGGCGCGAGGGGGGGGCGGCCTTCGAAGAAGGCAGGGGGGCTTCTAGAAGGCAGGGGCCTTCTTGGGAGTGCAGGGAGGCTTCTTGGAAGCCTTCTCTTGGAAGCCCCTGGTCTGCCTTCTGAGCAGCCCCGCCCCCCCCCTCGCGCCACCCGCCTGCGCGCGCTAGCGAGGATATCTGCCTAGACACCCGCTGTCCATACTTTTGTAAATGCAGCGTCCCTGGACATCATGACCCTTCTTCGGCTAGACTGGTTGAGGGCCCAAGGAGACCGGAAACAGCAACACAAACATGCCGTCGTGATGTTTGTCACGACGACGCGAGCATGTCTGGGTGACCAACGACCTGGGCCGGGTGTGAAGGGGGAGGACCGAAAGGTCGAATCAGAGTCGAAACAGTGTCTCCCAGGGCCTGACACGTGCAAACCCTAGAGGTTTGGAAACCTTTTCTGGCGCTCGAAATTCTTTCTGGTGATCAAGGCTAAAGTAGATGGGAGCATCATGAGTTAAGGGGGGGGACGCAAAGGTAGGGGGGAGAAGGGCTGACAGGGCGCAGAGTGAGCTCTCTCCGCGAAGGCTCTTACGAGGCGAAGAAGGCCTGCGGAGGTGGAAAGGGGGGGAAGGAGAACAGGGCCGCGAAGAGGGACGGGCAGGGAAAGGCAACACGTGCCGTACCTCCAAGAGGCCTCAGTGCCACCCCCCTGCGCGTGCCGCCGAGGATCTGCCCAGACATCCGGCGCCCCTGCTTCTTCAATACGACGTCTCCGACCCCCTACCCCGGGGGTTGCTTGTCGCCCCAGGCTGTCATTGATGGCCCTGCCCAGAAGCGGGCTCCGAAGGCCGGAATCAAAAAAAAAGGAGCCGGCTGAAAACATCACATCGTCGTCGTCGTCGTCGTCGCCGTCCCCGTCGCCGTCGCCGTCGCCGTCGCCGTCGTCGTCGCCGTCGCCGTCGCCGTCGTCACCGTCGTCGTCGTCGTCGTCGTCGTCGTCGTCGTCGTCGTCGCCGTCACCGTCACCGTCGTTGTCGTCGTTGTCGACGTCGTCGTCGTCGTCGTCATCGTCGTCGTCGTCGTCGTCATCGTCGTTCTTGTCGCCGTCGCCGTCGTCGTCGTAGTCGTCACCGTCGTCGTAGACGTCGTCGTCGCCGTCGCCGTCGTCCATCACGTCGCCAAAGATCGGGGCCTGTGCGCGCCGCCAGCTCAGGTAGTCCCGGCTGGCCCACACAGGCCCCCGATAGCGAATCCGTAGTACGCTCATAGGCGGGGCGGGCTGGGCGATTAGGCCCGGCCCCCATCGGCGATGAACGGGCGACCGGGGGTCGACGCATCCACCCCTGAACTTCCCCCCCGGATAAGGCTTCGGGTCGCGCACAGACGGCCCTCCCTGGCAGTCCCAGCCGCCCCGGGACTCGGGGGCCTGAGGAGGAGGAGGAGGAGGAGGAGGAGGAGGAGGAGGAGGAGGAGGAGGAGGCCTGCTGAGGCCAGCTGGGGCTACTCGGGGGGCCTGCCGAGGCCAGCTGGGGCTGCCGGGGAGGGCCGTCTGCGCGCAGCCCGGAGCCTGAGCACAGGGGGCCTCCCTGACTCCGGATCCGCCCTACTTTGGCCTTTTTTTCGTAATAAAGGGAAGGGGGTCTCATTTCGGGGGGGGGTCTCTTCCAGGCTATCTTGGAGG